CTCAGCCAGATGTCCTTTTTGTAGTAAGCTTTACCCACTGTCTCACAGGAACATTACTGTGGGGGACAATGCCCAGTAGAAATTAATCATGAAGACAATAAGTTGTAGGAGTCACTGACAGAAATCACCACAGACAGCATTCTGGGCATCTTAAACATTATAAGAGCCGTCAGCAAAACTCTGTCTCCAGGGACCATTATTCTGAGGGAACTCTGCCAATCGCAGCATTATTCAGAAGGCTCGTTTTTCATGTTCCTCAAATGCTTACTGTCAAACTAAACCAAAGTTTTGAAAGGATTCAAACACTTCCAAGTTTGGGTAAAGAAATATACTCCCATACTCAAATGTGTCCTGTGAGCCAGGTAAGCAAAAGATTTTTTCTTAACCAACATACAAAATTTCGTTTGTCAGAGCAGCCTTGTAAAACTCATTTACACTGCAGGGCTTGGATTCTGATGACCATGAAGGCCTTTATAAACCTACAATTCTATTTCCAGCAGTTTTCCATTGAGCAGGTAATTTTTCAGTCATCTTGAAAACTTTTATCCCAGGACAAAAAAGACAAATAACAAATGATAAAATGGTAGAGCCACATCTTTTGTTTCAAAGTCTTTCTCTCTCTATATGCAGAGCCCCTGCTGACTTCACAAAGGAAACAAAAGTGAACCACAGAAGCAGGAGGGAACTAGAAATGACCCAAGTGTTGTTGTCACTAAATGGCAACATTTTTGCAGTGTCACTTTTCTCTTGGTAAACCATATATCATAATTCTCCTGTAGTAAATTTTTGCTGCTAGGAAAACTCTGCATGCATTTGGAAAAACATCCTGTGAAATGATGAAAAATACTTTTTTACCTAGACTTACGTCTCTTTACTTAATGTCAAAAATTATAAACAAAACATTGTATGAGCCAATTGTGGAGAACTTCGGTGCAATGAATGCCTATCATGAGAAAAATCTAAATACATTATTTAAGAAAATGTTTATAGACAGGCCCAGAACCACAGTATTAGCTCCTAGTGATTGATAGCTTAAACCTGGAATTGGGCATTCAGAGTATAACTTGGAGACATTTTTATTCTGCCTTCAAAATATTCTAAATAAAATAATTTACCTAAGAATAGTAATTAAGTATATCAGATGTAAAGTTTATTTTGGTTTTATTGAGATTTTATTTTTTAAAAGTCTCTTTTTATAGCTTCATGATCAACTTGCAAGAAGACTTTTTTTCAGCAACTGTGCTCACAGGTTCAGCAGCTAGTCTCAAAGCTTCCCTGAGTGATTGGATGGTGGCAAGATGGAACAAGGTTTCAAGACTTGGTGGAAAAATCTGTCCTAGCCCTGCATTATATTAACGTCAGGAGCTGACATCATGGTTAGACTGGATGAATAGAAATAATGAAACAGCCTCTCGGTCTTCAAAGAGCAATAGACAACAGAATCAGAAAAATCAGTTTATATTTTGGATCCCCACAGTTGCTACATGTGATGTAGGACTGAATATTTCATCTCTGGATACCAATTTCCTTACCTGTACAATCATTTTCTGTGAAGGGGATGTGTGTGTATGTATACATGTGCATATATATATATATATATATATATATATATAAACAAACACACATATATCAGGCATAGAGAAAGTGTTCATAAAGTGGTAATTCCTATCAATTCTGTGGTGGGGACAGTAATACTGTATAACAAAATTAGGATTCAAAAGTATGACAGAAAAGAAAGATGAGCTAAGACAGTGATGAATAAAGAGGAAAAGAAAATAAAATCATGTAATTAAGGTTTTTTTTTCTTAAATTTTGATTTTGTTTTAAATTCATTTGTACCAGCATAATATGAGGCCATCCTGGCTTAACAGCACCTATGTAAAAAAAGTTTCTAAAAGCTTGAATGGCAGGAGCTTACTATGGAAACAACCGTAGGACACAGAGACTTAACTATTAGGTATAATCCTGTACAACACAAGCATATTTTGTGCCTAAATTAAGTAGCCTAATGCACTTTGCTGTTGCTGTGTTCTGTCTGGAGCACCACGCTCTGTCCTAAGCACTGTATTTTCAGAACTGCCTGAAAAGGAAGCCATAATGGTGAAATGCTCATACAAGAGAAGGGTGAAGAAACTGGGAGTACTAAAGCTAACACAGAGAAATTTAGTGAGAATATGAAAACTTACTTCAAACATAAAGGTCAGCAATGCAGCTAAATTAATAGTAATAACTAATATACACATACTGAGTACTTGTAATGTTCAAAGTAGTCACTGTTTTCCTTATTTTGCAGATGAGAGGACTGAGGCACAAGGGAGCTAAGTTACATGTCTATAATCACATAACTCGGGGCCAGCTCTTCCCCTCAGTAGTCCATCTCCAGAGCTGGGAGAGATAGATATTAGAGTTATCTGTCAACCATTTCTAGTCTTCCAAGATCTTGGTAAAATTGCCCTCCTCCACTTCCTCTGAAGTTGCATCTGAGCACATGATTTGCCTTGACCAATGAAATGTGAGCTTACATCACATTCACTTATATCACTTCAGAAGCACATACAACTTTCCACATACTCTTCCCACCACAGATGTGCAGAGCTGGAGTCCCCACCAATTTAGGTCTCCAACAGACAATGATGTATGGATATTCCCTGCTGATCCTTGTTGGACAAGTTGCAGGAGCAAGAAATAAGCTGTTACTGTCTGCTCAAGCTACTGAGGTTTAGGGGTGTTTGTTACTGCGGCATCACTCAACCTTTTCAAGCAGACACAACTGCCTGTCCACTTGAAATCACTAAAATATCTCATTATCTGGAAACTAATTTAGTATTCTATTTCCAGAGGACAGAAATAAGAGTAAATTGTAGAAACAAGTGGGCAGATGTGGACTTAATTTTTTTTTTAAAGAAAAGTTGTCTTAAAGTTGCTACATGAGGTTCTTGACAATGACAGCGTTTAAGCAAAGGTAAGATGATCATTTTGCACTCAGGTAGCAAAACAGATGGCTTAATTAAGGGAATGTGAGGTATCTGACATTTATTTAATGCCTTCGATGTATCAGGCATTCCAGCCACAAGGATAAATATAAACACAATCTTTATCCCCAGGAAAAGCCATAAACTATAGAACTAGATAACTGCTATAAGATAAAAAAAAAAAAAAACAGTGTGATTCAGCCAAAATAGAGATAATAACATGGCCTGGTTGAAGCTGAAAGCAAGCCTGAACTTACAAATAACCATGTAGCACTAGAAATCCTAGTGATGCTTAGGTCGTATTATTATTTTTCAATTAGGAGCCAAAAGTATAGGGTTTATGAAAGGGAGGGAAACAGGAGAATTGCTGGGTTTAGAGGAACACTTTTTCCTTTCTCTAGTTACCATTCCTCAGTCTTGCAAACCAAGCATATTATATGGCTTACATCAGGGGTGTTCCAGCAAAGGGAATACATTGACTCACAGCAATTGTTACTGACCTTTTCCATCACTTCTCCCACCCCTAAGAGCCAGGAAGGGAACATTTCAACACTGATCAAGTCAGATCTGAAGAAAAGCAACAGCCTTTCTAGTTAGGGCTATTCTTCAGCTCAGAAATCACACAAAGGTTTTGCAAAATATCAGAAGTCTTCCCTAAAAGGGCATACAGGCAAGGCCTACACACCCTAAAGGAATACTACATTGAACAGAGGATGTGAAAACCACAAATTAAATGAGCAAGAAAAGGGACACTGACATTATTTTACAAATAGTACCTTTAAACAGTACTAACTTCCGTACTTGCTTTCCCTGGTGGTATTAGTAGTTGAAAGTTTTGTTTTGTTTTTAATTTTTGAAAATCAAACAAGGGAGATTTGTTGTCCTTTCACTAACTCATTGCTTTTTAGTGGAAAAATAACGAAGGCCTGGATAAGCATTAACTGTAATTGTTCTGAAGCAGACATTTCCATTTCAGGTTATTATTCATGATGGTATTAGCAAAGAATAATATATGCAGATGGATTTTGCAGCCATTACTAGACCAGGGTGAGGGGCATATGATTACCATTGTTCCCCAACTCAAAAGCATCAGTTTGAACTTTGAACCCATAGCCTGGCCAAGGCTGAATTTATAAACTAGGGCTCTGATTTTCTATGAAGTAAAATAAACACAAAAATCAGGGCAAGCTGGATGTCAATGCCATTTCTTCCATCAGTTCAGTGTGGCGTGAATTTCTCTAATACATACTCGGAAGAAATTGGCTTTGGCACAAGTAAGAACAGCAGGGAATGTGCAGCTCACGCGAGTTTAATGTGCACCCTTAATACCCGGTCTATTTAAAATCTATATAATAATATTCTTGCAGAGACAGCTGGATCCCTGTGATCCCAGGTCTTGTGCCACACTATGTTACACAAACATACTCTTACAAACACAGATGTGAAATGTGCTAGGACAGAAGCGAGGCACGGAGATTGGGGTGTTTAGTCTAGTGGCCCCACACGCCAAAGTTTCAGGAGTAGAGCAGATGTCTGCAGAGTGAGAGGGGAGACCTCCCATCCTGTACTTTTATCCCAGCACTATGGAGATGACCCCATTTTGCTAGCGTAAATTTGCCCCTGCCCTGGTGACCTAGGCTGAGATTTAATCCAGGGCCAGAGGAGGCCAAGAGGATAGTGTTGTTGGTTCTCAATTGGAGAGAAAGTCAGGAAATCACTAAGGCTTCCCAGGCTGGCTGAGCTGACACACCCACTCAGAACGAATGGCCCAGGGTGGGGTGCAAGGGGGGCACAGGTGGAGGAGGCTGGGGCCTTTACAGCATGGACAAGAAGATGCTGCAGTCGGGGACACGCATGGATCCAGGGTTAGGAGGTCACACTACAGTCACGCAGTGGAGGATGCCTTTTACCTCCTCCTAGTCCTCCATCCGCCGGCAAAGTGAGCTAGAGAAAGTTGTGCCCCGAGTATGGCGAACGGGGCCGGGAAAGGGGACTCCAACTGGCGGGGTGAGACCCGGGCCCCCTTACCTTGTCCTTGGGACCGAGGTTCTGCAACACCTCCTTGCCCGTTGCGCTCAGGAT